CCTTTTCTTTCTTTCCCCTCCCTCTCTGGGGCTTGAACTCAGGGCCTGAGCTTCATATGCTCAAGGCTAGCACCGTGCCACATGAGCCACAGCGCCACTTCTGGCTTTTTCTGTTTCTGTGTTACTGAGGAATGGGCTTCACACATGCTAGGCATGCACTCTACCACTAAGCCACACGTGCTGATTTTTCTTTGTAGGAAGCTCTCCCATTTCAAGCCCCTCCCTGGGGGCACAATACAAATAGAAAGATGTTTGCATTCGTAGAACATTTTAAACCATATTTGAAATAAATGGTCCTGTAATATTTACACTTTTGTAACTTTCAGAAATTCCGTGAAGCCGAGCGCTGGTGGCTCACGCCTGTAATCCTAGCTACTACTCAGGAGGCTGAGATCTGAGGATTAAGGTTCAAAGCCAGCCCAGGCAAGAAATTCCATGAGACTCTCCAATAAACCACTCAGAAAACCAAAAGTGGCCCTGTGGCTCAAGTGGTAGACAAAAAAAAGAAAGAAATTCCATGAAACTGTGGGCGTTGACAATCACTTCTGTGCTTCCTGATGCATCTCTACATTGGCTTACGCCCTCCATCGTCTTGCTGTTTTCTCTCCTCAGTTCTCAGTCACAGTTCTGTAACTCTGCTTTCTTCCATATCACACAGTTCTCTGCTGTGAACGTGGTTCAGGTAGTAAAGGACGCTGTAAGAGCTGCTCAAGCTGCTCATCCCCCCCCCCCCCCCCCCCCCATGTCAGCTTTGTGGCTGACATTTGCAGAACTCGTTTGCTCTCTGGGCCGGCCTGACCACTTCTTCATGCTGGTGGGAGAGGAGAAATACTTTCAATAACATTTTTAGTGCTTGTGAGAAAATGTGCAGTCCTTTCTTTGTTCTTACTATGGTGACCTTTGGGAATATAGTAACGTGACTTTTTTTAAATGGTTATTTACTTTTCTGTTGTTTTGTGGTGCTATCAAACCCAGGGCCTTCTGGGTTTGTTCTAGGCAGGCTCTGTACTGTGTACTAATACACTTTTTCTTTCCTTTTTTTTTTTTTTTGCCAGTCGTGGGGCCTGAACTCTGGACCTGGGCGTTGTCCCTCAGCTCCTAGCTCAAGGCTAGCGCTCTACCACTTGAGCCACAGCGCCACTTCCGGCTTTTTTCTTTTTGCTGAGGAATTGAACCCAGGGCCTCATGCATGCAAGGCAAGCGCTCTACCACTGAGCCACTCTCCCAGCTCCTTATTTTTCTTTCTTTCTTTCTTTTTTTTTTTTTTTTTTTTTGGTGCTGATCTGGGGCTTGAACTTAGGCAGGGCCTAGGCTTTGTCCCTGAGCTTCTTTTGATCAAGGCTAGGGCTCTACAACTTGAGCCACATCTTCACTTCTGGCTCTTTTGGTAGTTCAGCGGAGATAAGAATCTCCCTGACTTTCCTGCCTGGGCTGGCTTCAAACCTCCATCTTCAGATCTCAGCCTCTTGAGTAGCTAGGATTACAGGCGTGAGCCACTGGCACCTGGCCCTAATGTACTTTTACTGTAACGAAGTCCATACATGTCAGAATACAAAATAGGGCAGGCAGAAGTGACCCCAAGTGTAAAAGCGAGCTGTGCCATCTTCTTTCTCTCTCCCGCGCTGCTGTCAGGCTCACAGTGTCGCCGTTTTACTTTCACCCACAGGTGGAGGAAGTGACAACGAAGGAGGTTAAGCTGCCCGCGGAGATGGAAGGACAGAAGATGAAAGTGAGCCAGGTCCGGGCCAGGCCCTTGGCGCTGCACTGCGACATCATTGGGGACGCCTTCTGGAAGGAGCATCCCGAGATCCTGGAGGAAGACAGCTGACCCTGGGCGCTTCTGCCCGGGCAGGCTTACTCACCAAAGCTCCCCACGGCCCCCTGCCTTGGATGGCCCTTGCTGCCTTTCCAGCCAGATGCTGCCAAGCGTGGCCTGGTGAGACACGGCTCGGGCAGGGAAGGCCCCGGGAGGGGATGGGCAGGCGGGCGGCAGGTCTCGTTTGCCTGCCATGTTAGAGCATGACCTTTTTTTTTTTTTTCTCAAAATTTCAGTACTATTTTTATAAAGAAAGAACTGTATTCACGCCTTTCAGGACGAGTCATTTTTAGATTGTGGCAGAAAGACTTATAAAAAAGTTCTTTTCACCTGCCATAGAAGAGGAGTCCAAACCTGGCTCTCACCCACGGGAGGCCCCGGTGACGGGCAGCCCGCTGCGCCACCCCCACGCCTGCGCCCGTCTTTGGCAGGTCTGAGGTCACACGGGTGCGTGCCGGCATGGCGCCCTGGATTCAGGAATTCCAGGAAGATGCAGGGCTCTGTGCCAGTCTCTGAAGTGGGCAGGATTGGCTGAGTTAATGAGTAGCGGCCGTGGCTGCCATGTGTACATGGCAGCAGTGGATTTTATGTTGATGTTATGATCTTCGTCACCTTGCTGGGGTTGGTTTCCAAAGCCACTGACTTAGAGGTTCTGAAGAAGAGACGTGTATTCAGAGATAGGAAACACGAGAAGAAATGAGGATGAGCAGGTTCTCCATGTCCTGTAGATACTTCAGTTAAAGTTGCTTTCTGGTTGGATTTTCCTGAAAAAGATTCTTAGGGAGCCTCTATATAATCGAAGCAGTAACAGAATTCAAGAGCAGAGGGGGCCAGGTGTGGAGGTGCACACCTTTAATCTCAGCCACACAGGAGGCTGAGGCCAGACGAGTGCCAGTGTGAGAGACCCTATGTGAAAAGAGCCTGGTGGGCATTAGTGTGCCCCTTGAGGCCCCACGCAGCCTGTGTCCGCGAAGGACTCAATAGGTCTCCCTGCTGGTGGGCCAGCAGAGATGCGCTGGCCGCAGCATTAAATCAAGGCAAGCTGATGATCTTGAAGGGTGGGGTCACAGGGTGGATGGTGAGGTGACGCACATTTCCTCCTGTCCTCCTCTCATATTTTAGAGGAAAAGGATTATTTGCTTCCATTAAGAATTAATTAAGAGACAGTCCACGTCCCAGAGCCTGGTCTCACATTACAGAACTGCAGCCAAGAAGAAAATGTATTTTTGAAAGAGCAATGCCTGGCCTCATCCTTCCCTTAATTGACACCCCATCTGTCCATGCCAGTTTCTTTTTTTTTTTTTCCTCTTCCTGTTCTCCCACACACAGGAAGAAGAGATGCAGCTCATGTTTGGTAATTGCTCTGATCTCTTCAAGGAAAAAAAAAAATTAAAAATAAAAGATTTCAACTCTCTTGGCCTACTTATTGATTTCTTACAGTAGGTGAGTCTAACTTTTGTGTAAGTCTCTGGGCAAACCAGGGTTTTATAGACTTCAGTATGAACAAAAATTACTCAGAGGTATATACCTATAATCGCAGCAACTCTGGTAGGCCAGAAGGACCATGGGTTCTAGGCCAGTAAAGGTAGCAAGGCTTTGCCTCAAAAACAACATGTAACAAAAGCTGTGTGTGTGTGTGTGTGTGTGTGTGTGTGTGTGTGTGTGTGTGTGTGTGTGTGTGTGTGTGTGTGTGTAGTAAGGGCATGAGAGAGGGCATGAGAGAGTGCTTCCTAGCATGTACCAGGCTCTAGGCTCAATCCCCAGTACTGTAAAAGTCAAAAACAACAACAAATAAACCCTGAACTGCTTATTTTTAAAATGCTAAGTTCAGGGTCACGAAAACTTGGGGCTCAGCAATCTGATTCTGGCTTCTGAAATATGTTTGAAAGCCAATGCCACTCTTGAGCCAAAAAGTCTCCTGATAGACTACCTGGCAAAATAAACTAGTGTGGCTCTTGGCAGGCAAATCTAACTTAATGGTAAATTGACAGTATTTTATGTACCAAAAAAATAAGGCATTAAGGTAGACGTTTTCTAGATAAAACCACCTTCGGGCTTTTTCTCCTTTGGGGGTCAGGAAACACTATAAAGCTTATCGATGGATTTTTGTCCTAAAATTCTGAACTGAGCACTTTTTTGTTTGCTCAGATTGCCAGTAATTTTTTTTTTACAGCTTGGAGTTTTTGTTAAGGTGGTTTAAAGCAACAAAACGCTGGTTTAACACCAGAAGCATCAGGATGCCAGTGGGGGGGAGGGGAGTGAGATAGTTTTTAATCTGTGGTGGTTTGTATCTTTTCCGATATGCATTTCACAGATGTGTATCAATCTTCATCTTGCTTTGGAAGACACACCAGCAACCACTGAGAATCAGAGTCGGAGCAGTGAGCCTGCAGGGGACTGGAAGCAGTTCTAGAGGAGGTGGTAATGTCTAGAGGAGACTCGCTTTAGTAGAAAAAAAGTTTCACTGCATCGAGGAGGCTATTAGGTAGAAGCGGTATGGGTTCGTTCTTGGGAGTCCTGGTTTCTTCTAGATGTTCAGCGATGTTCAGGAAATAGTGATAAAATGAATTTCCTTTGCTACTGAAAATCGTCAGGTCTTAGTACAGATTTCCTCCACGCACACATAAAGGAAATGGGGACTTGGATCTCCCAGCCTTGAATGGTTCCACTGCACACTTAGTACTGGCAAACAGAAGGTTACCGAATGTTCTGCGTGCGGTAGCTCTCTGTACAGCTCCACGAAGTGGATGGTACTTCAGACGGGGCAGTCAGAGCCCAGAGAGGCCAAATAACTTGAGCCTAGGTAGGTTTGCCCTCCCTCACCAAACCATCATCCTCCTCCGGCCCCTACCCTGCAGCTCAAGCTTAGGCATCGGTTGCAGTTTTAGGGAGTAGAGGATGTTGAAGGCCAGCCTCATCATCAGTGTTAAGAGTCTCAGCATCAGCAGCGCCAACCTGTCAGTGGGATTGGGGGCGGAGCCAGAAGGGGCAAGGTAGCAGCCTCAGGCCACGCCCCCGCGCCCATCGTGGCCACGCCCACACCGTCCGGGTCCCGGCGTGGACCCCTGCTGCCCTCTGGCGGCCGCGCCTGCGCCGTGCGGCCCGGTGCCGCGGCTGCGCAGTGCCGCCCTCTGGCGGCCCCGCGCCTTCCTCCCATCGGCCTCGGCTTGCGGGCCTTTCAAACATGGAGGAGCGCGAGTGGGGGGCGAGGTCGGCGCTGGCGGGGAGCCCCGCGAACCCGCCGAGCCCGCGGCTGGATGTCAGCTCGGACAGCTTCGACCCGCTGCTGGCCCTCTACGCGCCCTCCCTGCCGCCCATCCCCTACCCCAACGCGCCCTGCTTCAACAACGTGGCGGAGTACGAGAGCTTCCTGAGGACCGGGGTGCGGGCGGGCGGGCGCGGGGCGCGGGCGCGGGGCGCGGGCTCGGGGGACCCCGCCGCGCCCGTCCCCGCCGCCGCCGCCGCCGCGGGGCCCCGGGCCCGCCGCCGCCCCGCCGCCCCCGCCCCGGACCCCGAGCGCATCCAGCGCCTCCGCCGCCTGATGGTGGTGAAGGAGGGCGGGGAGGAGGCGGCCGGGGCGCGCCGGCCGGGGCCGGGCCGGGGCCGGAAGGCGCCGCGCAACGTGCTCACGCGGATGCCCTGTGAGTGGGGCGCGGGCGGGGGGCTGCGGGGCGCGGAGGGGGAGGGGGGCGCGGAGGGGGAGGGGGCGCGGAGGGGGAGGGGGGCGCGGAGCGGGAAAGGGGGCGCGGAGCGGGGGGGGTCGCGGAGCGGGAAGGGGGGCGCGGAGCGGGAAAGGGGGCGCGGAGCGGGGGGGGGCGCAGAGCGGGAAGGGGGGCGGAGCGGGAAGGGGGGCGCGGAGCGGGGGGGGCGCGGTGCGGGAAGGGGGGCGCGGAGCGGGGGGTGCCCGGAGCGGGAAGGGGTCGCGGATCGGGGGGTGCACGGACTAGGGAGGGGGGCGTGGATCGGGGAGAGGAGCACTGCAGGGCTGCTCGGCCACCTGGCGGAGGGCCCGCGTGGCTGGGTTTTGCTGGCACGCAGGAGCCCTGCGGGGGGTGGGGGGGTGGGTAGATCCGCAGAGAGGGGCGCACGCCCCGGAATTGGCCTGTGCGCCCTGCAGAGGGTCTGCAGGAGGGGCGGGGTCTGGAGAGATGGTAGAATTTGGAAGCGGAGGTGATGGGTGAGGTGTCTGGGGCGGGGCGGGGGGGGGGGGGGAGGCCGGAGAAGTTGGGTGTCAGCCGGGAGGACGTGGGGGGCGCGGAGGGTCTGGGTAACGGGATTTTGAGGATTCGGTTCATTGAGGCAGAGCGAGACATCCTCTCATAACCCGGGCTGGGTGGGGAGGAGGGCGTGTGTGTGTGTGTGCGTGTGTGTGTGTGTGTGTGTGTGTGATATAGGTGGGTCTCTGGGGTTCCCCAAGCCGGCTTCAGGGACGTGGTCCCCAGAATTAACTAACTCACTAGCGTTGGAATGGAGCGGGCGCGAGGTGGCACCGGCGCGGGCCGGGTCTCAGGCACCGAGGGGCTGCGGGGGACCGTGTCTGTCACGCTCCCTGTTACCCTAAATGCGGGTTATTTTAAGATCTGAAGGTTGTGAATGGCACGAGGGAGATTCTTAGAGCTTCTTAATAGACTCTTGGAGTAAAGCTGAAAACGGCGGAGGTTCTGATGGGTGAGGCAGGTCTTGTATAAATGGAATTTTATCTAAAAAAAAAAAAAAGAGAAAAGCCAAGCAGCCCAGGCTTCTATCTTCTGTCATGTATAGCAACAGTCCTAACATCTGCCCCGTGATCGCAGTGACCTACTTAGCGGTACAAAGAATCTATAGCCTGGTCATTACCTTGTTACATTGTCAGATGACTCCCTTTCCAGCGGGAGGGTGCACGGAGCAAGAGGTTATTTTATTTCATTTTTACAATGTATTTATTAAGGGAGAGATCCTGAAAAGCCCTGGGCAGGTGTGGGTGCCTCTGCTGGCCGGGTGATTTACTGTCCTGGGGCACCACTGCCCAGGCAAGGGCCAGCTTGCTTGCCCTGCAGAAACACAAAGTGTGAATGTTCCTAAAATAAGAGCATGGGCAGGGGAGGGGGGCCTATTTTGCCTATATGTCTTTATCCTAATGCGGTTGTTGAAATGCACTCCGAGTCTGACATTTTTATCAGTTACTTTTTTTTTTTTTCTCCCAAGAAATGTTTCTTTGTGGGTGGGCGACCGTGGCTTTATTTTGTTGGTCACAGACTTTCCATGGTTAAATATTCACCTGGAGCCATGCGCCCTTGTCACTGGGCATGTTACTTGTGGCAGAGGAAACAAGTTGAGGGCTCCATGACTGAGGGGAGTTGACATTACAGAGTGTTGGTGACCTTCAGAAAGCGGGGAATGGCTGGAGGTGTAGCTCAGTAGGTAGACAGCCTGCCCAGACAGCTCAGGGCGCCAGGGCCAAACCCCAGCACAGAAAAGAAAAAGAAAGAAGGAAGGAGACACAGAGAGAGAGAGAGAGAGAGAGAGAGAGAGAGAGAGAGAGAGAGAGAGAGAGAGAGAGAGAGAGAGATGCTTAAAAAGAAAGCCAGAGCCAGGTGCTGGTGGTTCACACTTTGTCATCTAGCTACTCAGGAGGCTGAGATCTAAGGTTCATGGTTCAAAGCCAGCCTGCGCAAGAAAGTCCATGAGACTTTTTTTTTTTTTTGGTTGGTCGTGGGGCCTGAACTCTGGGCCTGGGCGCTGTCCCTCAGCTCTTCAGCTCAAGGCTAGCGCTCTACCACTTGAGCCACAACACCACTTCCGGCTTTTTTTTCTTTTTGATTATGTGGTGCTGAGGAATTGAACCCAGGGCCTCAGGCATGCAAAGCAAGTGCCCTACCACTGAGCCACCTTCCCAGCCCTCCATTAGACTGTTATCTCCAATTAACCACCAAAAAGCTGGAAGTGCTGCTTGGCTCAAGTGGTAGAGCGCTAGCCTTGAGCTGAAGAGCTCAGGGACAATGCCCAGGCCCAGAGTCAAGCCCCAGGACTGACAAAAACAAAACAAAAAACCAGGTATCACTGACTCACACCTATAATCCTAGTTTCTCAAGAGGCTGAGATCTGAGGATTGTGGTTCAAAGCCAGCCAGGGCAGGAAAGTCCATGAGACTCTTATCTCCAGTTAACCACCTAAAAGCCACAGGTGTGAATCTGTGGCTCAAATGAAGGCTGGGAAGGGCCTGGGCTTCAAATCTCTGATGGCCAAGTTAAGAGTTTTCCAGATGTTCCAAAGCTCCTGGGCCTGGCTGCCGAGGGGCAGTGCCACTGAGAGCTGAGGGTGTCCACGCCGTGCACCTGCCAGCTGCTGGGTGCTGGGGCCTCGGCCTTGCAGTCTGGAGCTGCTGGTGCCAAGGGAGGTGCACTAGGCTTAGCCACCATTTCTACACCGATGGCGCCGTGTCAGGGATGAGGGTGAAGTTAAGCTTACCAGAGACCCCGTTCCTCGGAGAAGCCTGGCGATGGTGGTGACGCTGGCAGTGGTGACGGCCGTGGATGTGTGAAGGGGACTCAGGGACTCGCAGAGAGCCAGCTGTCTGACCAGGCTCGGGACTGACTTGGGCTGTGGAAGAAGAAAGGCCCGGAGTGCTCTTCCCTCCCGAGCAGCTATTGTTAGACCTGGGAGAAAGGGAGAGGAGATGGCGCTGACCTGGATTTGGTCCGCGTGGCCTGGGAACAGCCGAGGGCGGGGTCTGGAAGAACGGCTTCCTGCAAGGACAGGAACAAGGCTTTTTGTCACTGTGGTTTAGAAACGTGGGTCTCTGCCATTGGAGCCTGTCACCGAGGTCACCGAGGTGGCCAGAGGAGTTCATGTGCTCATTTAAAGTGGGAACCTCATTTTTCCCCTTGACACCTTGACACTTATGGATGGTACTAGTACACTATTGTTATTGTTATTACAATAACAATTATTGTTATAATTGCTATTATTGTTATAGGTTATTATTTTGGCTGTACTGGGATTTGAACTCATGGCCTTGAGCTCATTAGGCGCGCTCTCTACCACTTGTGTAGTAACCCATACTAGAGTTTGTATTTTGATCCCTCCAGGCAAGAAATACTCACTTGAATTGCACTTGGTTCAATCTTTGGAAGCAAAAAAAAAAGATCAGGAGAAAAATGACAGGCGTGAGAGTTGAAATGATCTAGCTTGCCATTTATTTAAGGAGCTGTTGTTAAGATACTACCTGTTTGGCCCTGTTCTCCATTTTACGGGTGTAAGGGGAGGAATATAGTAATGCCCTTACCTCCCCCCCCTCCCCCGTCCCCCGTCCCCATAGTTGGAAAGAGAATGGTTGGTCTGCTCTGTAGAAACGTGTCTGAGGGGCAGGCAGCAGTGTAATGTACAGGCAAAAGGAGTGATTCAAAACATTGTCATGGGTTCCTGTGAGAGGACTATAGCAGCTTATCCCTGAGCTTAACTTAGAACCAAACTATTCCAACCTTACTTTATGAATGAGGAAGCTGGGTGTGTAGTCACTCACCGAAGTTCTGTTCTAGTTGAAATGACCTATAGGTTGTTTCCAGCTCTTTGTTTAGCATAGCCTATGACACATATGCAGGAATATGTACACGTAGTTATCTATGGAAGGACTTTGGAAGATAGCTAGAAGAGAGTTAAATGGAGTGGTCAGATCAAGGAACCTCCTGTTCCTTCCTAAGTCCACTGTTCCTGCCATTTTCCTCCCACTCTGCCTTCCTGCCATTTCCCCATCTGACATAAACTCCTACTTCTCATCTGCCCATTCCTCTTCCTCCAAGGGCATTCTCTTGCATGAGTTGAGTCCGCACCAGCTCATGAAGGAGGGATATGGAAGTCAAGAATAACAAGCCTACTTACCCGGAGACAGATGTGTGTGTGTGCATGTGTTCATGCATGCGTGTGTGTATGTGTGTGTGCATGTGCGCATGCACATACATGCACACGTGTGCATGCACTGGTATGGAGTCTTTACTTTAGATGTTTGGGGTTTTTTTGCTCCAAGGTTGGCCTAGCCCCACTTGAGCAACACCTCTGCTTCCAACTTTTTTTTGCTGGCTAATTGAAGAGAAAGACTTGGGATTTTTTTTCTGCCCTGCATAGCTTTGAACTTTGATCCTCAGCTCTCTACCTCCTGAGTAGCTAGGATTACAGGCGCAAGTCACCCATGCCCAGCCAGCCAAAGATTTGTTATTTATGACAAAGTCTCCAGAGCAAATTGGAGAGCGAAAATCAGGTTATGTCTGTGGCTGTGTCCGGTTCTTCTGGAAGGATCTCTGTTGGGAGAGGGACCGTTAACAGGAGATGAGAGAAGATTCCAGCACTGCTGGCGAGCACTGAGGGAAAGCGGCCCTCCCAGTGAAGGCTGGCGGTCTGGCCCTGGCTCTTACTAGAAGTTGTCTTGCTGCTCTTTGCACAAGATGCTTTAAAGCATCCTCAGGAGCCTGGTGCTCAGCAGGTGCACTTCAGCATCTGCCTTGGAGTCCCCGGCCCTTCTCCTCCCTGTGCAAAGAGGCTGCTGCTGGTTGACCCAGCAACTGCAAACTGGGCTGAAGTAGCCGGTGGGTGTGGCCAAGGGGAAGGCCACTGGGGGATGTTCCCATTCAGTCTGTGGCGCATGAGAATTATGGTGATTAAAGTTGGTTTAAGGCCCACATAGGACGCTAGCTGTTACATGTACACTCCGTGTGGTATTTTTGCCTGCAGAAGGTTTAAAGGCACATTAGCATCGGTGATTCCCCGGTGGTGGGGTGCAGGTGTGGGACCGTGGAGACGGCGCAGGTTCTCCACCATCGGGGTGTTGCTCCTGCGTCTCCGGCGCTGCCTGCGGGCGTGAGGTGGACATTCACGGTGTTCTGGCGTCTTCTCGTTGCAGTGCACGAGGGCAGCCCCCTGGGCGAGCTCCACCGCTGCATCCGGGAGGGGGTGAAGGTCAACGTTCACATCCGCACTTTCAAGGGGCTCCGGGGTGTCTGCACCGGCTTCCTCGTGGCCTTCGACAAGTTCTGGAATATGGTAACTAACCTCGCTTGACATTTCAGCCATTTTATTCATGAAAACCTGTAGAGTAGCTTCTCAGAAGAACTGGAATTTGTGTGCAGTCTTGGGCAAGGACACCAAGAAGTTACTACTTCCGGGGCTTTCTTAGAGCAGACATCAATCAGCCAGTGCAGTCTTGCTCTGGCCAACCCCCTCTTAAAAACATCTGGCAATGTCTGAGGGTTTCTCTTCTGTCACATCTGGGAGGCAGGGCTGCTGGCCTCCACGGGTAAAGGGCAGCGTCCAGTAACGCAAAAATTACGCAGTCCAGATGTCACCTGTGCCAAGATTGAGAAACAGCCCTTCCACAAATGCATGTTGTTATTAGCACACATTAATTCATTGTGGCATTTCCATATATCCTATTCTGTAGCCCAAACTCCCTCCCTCCCTTACCTCCATCTTCATTTTTTTTTTTTTTGTTGGTCATGGAGCTTGAACTCTGGGCCTGGGCGTGTCCCTCAGCTCTTCAGCTCAAGGCAAGCGCTCTACCACTTGAGCCACAGCGCCTCTTCTGGTTTTTCTGGCGTATTATTGGAGATAAGAGTCTCATGGCTGGCTCTGAACCACGACCCTCAGATCTCGGCCTTCTGAGTAGGATTACAGGCGTGAGCCACCGGTGCCTGGTTTCAGTCTTCATTCTTAAAAACCAATTTCAGCAGGCTTCATTATTGCATTTTCATACGTGAAAATGAACCACTTCAACCATATTCACCTTCATTCACTCTCTCTCTTACACCTGCCTCTTCCCTGGGGCTCCCCTCCCACACGCAATTGAGTCGGTTTTACTTTCCTGTCATTCATTTAGAGAACTGCTTGTTGTGTATTAATTTTACTAAGGGGAAAACACTGAGCCTTGAAGAATAATTATCCCATCTATTTAGTACATTTATTTTCTCCCAACCATCCTTTCCTTCACCGTTTTTCTTCTGCCCAAGAGCTGAGTTATCTTTATGGTTAGTTCTGCTGGGTATTACAAATGCTATTACAATAATGTTTTCAATTCTTCTTTTTTCCCCACTTTGGGCTCTTCCTCTAGGCACTTACAGATGTGGATGAGACCTACCGCAAACCTGCTCTGGGCAGGGCATACGAGCGGGATTCTTCGCTGACTCTCACGAGGGTAGGCAGTGTCCCCTGCCCTCCTGGGTGCACTTTCCACCTTGCAAGGTCAGGGGTCACTGAGCCACTGCCCAGGCTGGCCAGCCCTGTTACGCCAGTGTGCCCGCAAAGGCCCTTCACTGGTCTCCCGTCTGTGTGCAGTTGATCGCAAATGCATGTGTGAATCTTCACCTGCAAATTCGTGCAAGATAATCTGTGTGTGTGTGTGTGTGTGTGTGTGTGTGGTGCCAGTACTGTGGCCTGAACTAGGACTTTGAGCTCTCTCACCTGGCTTTGTGCTCAAGGCTAGTGCTCTACCACTTGAGCCACAGCTCTACTTCCAGCTTTTTGCTGGTTAATTGAAAATAAGAGTCTCACAGACTTTCCTGCCCAGGTTGGCTTTGAACCCCCAACCTCAGATCTCAGCCTCCTGAGTAGCTAGGATTACAGGCGTGAGCCACTGGCACCTGGCCAGATTACCTCTTAGAAGGCTCTGAAAGTCTTCCAGTTCTACACCACAGAAACAAGCGGGTGCCTTTTCCCTTGGCATAGTGCTGACGGATTCCTGAGTTTGGGCTAGAAATACACAAGCCATTGCTGACTTTTCAGAGGTGGTAATACAGGCTTCACAGAGCATTTTGGGGGGTAGGGGGGGTTGAGAGACGGGGTGAATGAGAAGGCTGATGCTTTCTCACTTTTCTCACAGCTGTTTGACCGGCTGAAGCTCCAGGATTCCTCCAAGAAGGACGCTGATTCCAAGTCTGCGGTGGAAGACTCCACGCTGTCTAGGCACTCACAGACGTCCACCTGGAAGGTGGCGTCGGTGTGGGGCCGAGGAGACACGGACCGGAGCGCCCGCAGGCGGTCACGCTCCGTCCCTTCCTCCCTGCAGGCTTCTGGGAGGGAGGAGTCGAGGTCGGAGCTGTCAGCGAGGACTACCCGGACCGAAGGGTCCAGTGCCGGAGGTACGGTCTCCAGGGCCACCACCCTGTCCCGGGGCCAGCCCCGGAAGAAAAAGCGAAAGCCCAAGGTGGATTACCAGCAGGTGTTCACCCGACACATAAATCAGATTTTCATTCGGGGTGAGAACGTCCTGCTCGTTCATCTCGCACAGTGACCACCAGCTCAGCCTCCGCCTGAGCTTTGGGTGTTAGAAATAAAGTGCATGTATCTCTCCTATACCACATCCTAGTACCCCAATGAAACTTGAATGTTTCCCTCTGGTCCTGCACGTGCAGAGGACAGAGCAGGCTCGGGCCTCTGGAAGAGGAGCTTGAGGGAGGCCAGGCCCTGGGAGCATGCGCAGTGGAGTCAGTTCCAAGGCAAAAGCAATCGCTAGGTCCCTGTATCAAATTGGGTGTCCCTGGCTGCTTCAGACTCTCCAGCCAAAGTAAGTTCTTCCATTTGTGTGGAATTTATTTCTCTGAGACTACAGGAAAAAAAGTCTCAAAAGGAATTATTGTATTTCCGAAAGCACTAGCTTGCAGAAGTACCGTGAAGTTGATTCCAAGAGTAAAAAAGCTCTAGCACTGGTGGCTCACGCCTGTCATCCTAGCTACTCAGGAGGCTGAGATCTGAGGATCATAGTTCAAAGCCAGCCAAGGAAGACAAACCCAATTAACCACCAAAAAAAAGGCAGCACTGGAGGTGTGGCTCAAATGGTAGCACACCAGCCTTAAGCAAACAACAACAACAAAAACCTAAGCAAGAGCACAAGGTTCTGAGTTCAAGCCCCAGTACCGGCACGAATGCATGCGGTAATAATGTAGCTGCTGTGCCCTGGGGCCTGCATCACCTTGGAGTTTGCTCTACAGTGTTCTGTCTTGCTGAGGAAATGGAATTTGTCTTGGAACCTCCCTGTGACTAAAGTATAGGAAAGTTGCCAACTTCCCTGGGGGAAAACAGCAGCGGCCTGCTCTGGTTGGCAGGAAGGCGGGACCTGGCCCGTCTCTCCCTCTCCCGAGGTGTCCTCTGCTGGACGCGGACAGGTGGGCCTGGCCCGCGCTGCGGGGCGGCTCCTTGTCCTCTCTGGCTTGTGTGGCATGGTGCTAGTGCATGGATCTGTGGTGCGAACCCTCCGTGTGTGGCGTGAACCGTCCTGTGAGCATCATGTCTTAGGAGTCCTGTGCAACTCCATGATGTGTACATCCCACAGTGGGGAGTCCCCGTGGCAGGCCTGACCTGTGTCTTTCTCAGAATGGCTTCACCAGGAAACAGGGGTGGTCGTTCTATGTCCCTTGGGTCAGGCCAAAGTGGTTTCTTAGCAAGTGGACTGGGGTGCCGGAATGGCCGCTTCGCCCACAGCCTGGAACCGCACACTCCTACTTGAATCCTCTTAGACGGCTCTCATATAGCATCGGCTGCATCGCGACACAGACTGTTAGGCAGCGTTGGTGACTTGTTTTTGTTCCTTTCTGTCTGTTTTCCATACCTTCTTTTCAAAGGGAGAATAAGAAATATATATGACCAAAACATCTGAAAACTTTCTCCTGCTGCATGGGTGGGGTGACGGGATAGGCCTCTGAGAAGCGGGGTGAGCCAGGTTTCGGGGCCTGGGCCTCTGGCTCATCAGCCGGTGGAGGTTGAGCAGATGAACCCCTCTGTGCCTCTGTCCCCCCGTGCTACGCCTACCTCACAGTGGCCTGTCACAGAACTCTCGGAAGGCAGCTTGCAGCCTAGACATATTTGAGTGCCACAAGTACCGTTTACTACTCGATTTCATAGCTCTCTGCGACTCTGTCTCACGGGCAGGGCTGGTGCTATTCGGACAGGCATGTCCCTGGGCGTCTCACTGTCGTGCAACTATCATCAGAAACTGGTGGAAACTTCAGGATCAATTTTCCATATCGATTTCTTCCTCTAAAGGGACTTGCACAAAGTTCCCAGAAAAAAAAAAAAAACTTCAATGAGAGGAGAGAGACATTTTTTCGCTGACCCCTCTATCTCCTAATCCCCACCTTTTTCTAGTACGTACCAGAAGGAACTGCCTTGAACTTTTCCACGGTTTATACGATAGCACCAAAGGGCGAGTACAATGGCATTATCCCTACGGGGAATTTGTTGAGTTCATTTTGTTTTCTGTTTACTTGTTTTTTTTTTAAGATTAATTTCAAAGTCTACTGGAGAGAGAGAGAGAGAGAGAGCGCCAGCACGCGCCAATGCACTACAGTTGAAGGGGTTCTAGGCTACAAGCCCAGGTTGGCAAATTAGCTTGGGAATCTGCCCGTCTTAAGTCTCTTCTGATTGGTGTGCCCCGAAAATCTCAGTTCTCAGACGAATAGTTGTTTAATTGTCAGGCAGTGCCTACATCCCTTTACCAGTCTCCCTTTGTGTCTGTCCTTATGTCTGTCCAGTTGTCCCTCAGCCAGAAGCTGTCACAGATGCTGAATTCTCCCAATAATACAGAGCTGTGCAATCAGGAATTCAGTGAATTTCCATTCAAGCCAGTGCCTGGTGAACTCTGGCCTGACTGATTTTACACCCGTGCCATATTCAGATTTACATACAACTTTCACATACTCTTCTCTTTCAGGAATGAGTTGGCAATTCTCTCCCTAATGTGACAATTCTGGCCACAAAAATTATTTTTAGGCTGTATGTGATCTGTCTTATGCCCTCCATTTCCTTGTTTGGTTTGCTTCCTTGTTTGGTTTGCGTAGTGATCCTGGAATGAATACCATCTAGTAAATGTTCTTTTTTTTTTTTCTAAATTAGAATGATAATTATTTCAGAGAAGTAAAACTTGAAAAATTATTGCCTTTTGTTATTGGAGAAAATTTTCAAAAAGAATGAGAATACAGGTCCTAATAATATATTGTTGCACAGAAAAATGTTTTTTGATTGTTGGCTACAGTGGCTGAAAATTTAGCTCAACAATAGAGAAACAAATGAATGAGTAAATGAACGGCAAGCTGCTATGGAAGTAGCTGGAGATTTCTTGAGGAGAAGGGAGGGAAGGGGAGAGTGATAGTTAAGATTTGGGGGTCCCCTTCCCGGAGGACCAGCTGGAGATGAGTGGAGGTATCCAGGGCCTCAGGCCGGGGAAGCTGTGAGAATAGGACTTGCTTCTGAGCATGCAGCTTGGGTTCTTCAGCATCACCTCTAGGCACAGGAACGTGGCGGCCCTGGAGGAACCTGGCTTTGTCAGCTGAGAATGTTGCCAGCCACGCCAGCTCTCAGCCCTTCGCTCTCAGCAGCTCAGCCTTGGGTTTTTGGTGTTTTTTTGTTTTTGTTTTTTTTTGGTCAGTCATGGGGCCTGAACTCTGAGCCTGGACATTGTCCCTCAGCTCTTCAGCTCAAGGCTAGCGCTCTACCACTGAGCCACCTCCCCAGCCCTTGTTTTTGTTTTTTTTGGTCAGTCATGGGGCCTGAACTCTGGGCCTGGACGTTGTCTCTCAGCTCTTCAGCTCAAGGCTAGTGCTCTACCACTTGAGCCACAGCGCCATTTCCGGCTTTTTCTACTTATGTGTGGTGCTGAGGAATCGAACCCAGGGCCTCATGCATGCAAGGCAAGCGCTCTACCACTGAGCCACCTTCCCAGCCCAGCCTTGGGTTCTTTGGCTCAGTGTGTGATGGAACTCCCGGGGCAAGCGGGACCAGGTGAAGTAGGCTTTTGTGAGCAGAGGCTGGAGGCAGGGGCTGCTGTCCGAGCGCTCAGGGTGGCGTGCAGGCCCACGGCCGGCCACGCACACCCCCATCCCGTTCCTGCTCGGCTGACGTGAGCTGCTGCTTCTGTGGCTGGGTTTATCTGTGCTCAGCTCACAGAAGACCCCAAGGACGCGCACCGCCATCCCAAGAGGGTCCCCGAGGTCTAGGATAGAAATGTGATTTTCGGAAGCAGCCTGTCCTGGGTGGGAAGGCTGGGTGGTAGGCGGACCCGAAGGCACTCCCGGCTGCGCCTCAAGGCCTTCAGAAATGGAAGCTCAGGCCAGCCTGGAACGCCATCTAGGAGGGCGGGAGAGGTAGGAGATCCCAGGCCACCGGCACAAAGGGCCCGGGAGCTGTCTACAGAACAACGCTGGAGCACAGAGGACTGGCGGTGCGGCCCAGGTGCCCAGCGAAGCAGGCTCATCCGCAGGATCGCCTGCCGTTTGTACAGGGAGTGATTCGCCTGGTCACTAAATACAGCTCAAGCTTAGCCTATCTGTGGTGTGTCAGAGGCCCAGGCGGGAGCAGAGGCGGGCCGTGTGCAAAGCGACTCTCCACAGGTGCATTGTGGAGGCAGGGGATCCAGGGTCACTGGCGCAGCAGCCGGCACCTGGCTGGCTGGGCATGGCGGGTGTCCAGGCAGGACGCCTGCACAACGCCAGCAGAAGAGCCCGGGCACATCCCCTGCTGGGAGTCGCTGGTGGATCCTGAAGAAACACCCAGAGGTTTTTCTGGTCATAAGCCATGAGCCGGGGTCAGTGCCCCCCCCCCCCCCCCCCCCCCCCCAGGAAATAGAAACCTGCCTGGTTGTAAAATGGACTGTGGTATTTCTTTTTCCTTTTTTTTTTTTTTGCCAGTCCTGGGACTTGAACTCAGGGCCTGGACACGGTCCCTGAGCTTTTACTCAAGGCTAGCGCTCCACCACTTGAGCCACAGCGCCACTTCCAATGGACGGTAGTATTTCTGTCTCCACTGCAGGGATGGGCAAAATGTGGGATAGAACTGGTTTCATGAGGGGCTGGGAAGGTGGCTCAGTGGTAGAGAGCTTGCCTTGCATGCATGAGGCCCTGGGTTCGATTCCTCAGCACCACATAAGCAGAAAAAGCTGGAAGTGGCGCTGTGGCTCAAGTGGTAGAGTGCTAGTCTTGAGCTGAAGAGCTGAGGGACAGCACCCAGGCCCAGAGTTCAGACCCCACGACCAGCAAAAAAAAGAACTGGTTTCATGAATTGCTTCTTGGTATTTTCTCTACATTTTGCCTTTGGGAGAAAAAATCAAAACTATTCAAAGTGAGCTAGCTTTACTGGTGCTTCTAAAAGCATTCAATTCTCTTGTCTTTTTTTTTTTTTTTATTGTGAAACTACCATATGGAGGGGTTACAATTACATGGACAATTGTCTTTTTTTTTTAAAGAATGGTTGCTTTGAGGTCAAAGTTCATAGAAGAGGATCATGGGATCATGGAATAAGCAGGATGTATTGGTTTGCCACTGTTTTCTCTTTTCCTGTCCCAGATGAAGTATATCCAGCTCCAATTCAGGG